GATTTTCAAGGGAAAAAAAACATGTAAGTTATAATGAATACTCTTTTTTTAAAGGATAGCAAGAAAAATAATTCCTGAAAAAGATGAAATGTTATAGGAATATTATAAAAATAAATTTTAAAAAAACCAAGATTACCCTGTATTTTTTTTAAAAAATTTTTTCTTGGTTCTCTGTTGATCTTAGTCTTTCCCTTTATCTCTTTCCACATTTTTCACCTTTCTCCTTCTTTCTATTTCTCCACTCCATTACTGCCCATTCTAGAATAGAAATACAATTTAAAATATTCCCAACATTGGGCATATATTGAATAAAATTTTAGGTTATCCTGTTCTTAATTTTTTTCTGGTGCTGAGGATCAATTCCAGGGCCATACATATGCTAGGCACATGCTCTACCATTGAGTTGTAACACTATAATCCTACCGGATGTTCTTAATTTTTAAGTCACTAAAGTTTCACTTTTAATGTGACTTTTTAAAACAATGCATTAATAACCAAATTAAGTTCCTCTTAACTTCTTTTGTGACCCTTTATTGTTTTTAGCTTGTGGGTCGGTGACCCCTGAAAGAAAAAAAAGCTCTCTAGTTTTCAGAGTGTCTGAAAAGGACTAAGGCTTTTTACATGGCCTGCAGACCTTTGGTTGATGAGAATACAGCCACTGTGCTTTTATTACTGTTAGGAATTTACCTAAGATATTTATTCAACAGGATGTTGTCATTCATCCCATTCATTTTGGTAAGATGCTTTTTGTGCCCTCCTCGCCTTTTCCCCCCTACCTAGGAAAAGCATGTCGAATATGTACTTAGTTTACAAGCCTGATAAAATTACCAGAAGTCTATCCAAGACTACTAATTTTAAAGGGAGCTCAGGACTGTACAAAGGGAACATGGCAAAATTAGTGAGCTCCAACTTCATTCTGATCCCAGGAACCACAGCACAATGCAACTCTGTCTCCTGCAATGTTTGAATAAAATGGTTGCAAACAGGCCTCCCAGATTAGAAACTTGGGGTTCCATCCAGTGCAAGTGCAGAATTTTTAAAAAGCTAACACATATTGGGCTCTTTTTATTTACCAGGCACTTCAAACACAATGTCTCGTTTAATTGAAAACTCTTCCAAACATAACTCAGTCAGATCCTACTTATTGTTTACTTTCACTCAAATGATGGAAGTGGCTAAGAGCATGGCCCAACGTGAGCACAGAAGTGTACCTGGCCCCAACATGAGTGTAAGTGGAAGCACCTGGGCCTCCCATCGCATGTTCATTGACTCTCCCAGCCAGTCAGTACTTACAGAGCATCAGCCTACTGTGGATTAGAAACATATGTATATATGTACAAGGCATTTAATTCTGTAAACTTAACCACCTTAGACTGACTTTCACCCTTATGTTTCCCAGATAACTTCCAGTCTTGAAAAAAGGTCAACTACAAAGGAACAACTTGCTTTGTTTTACTTACGCCCAACACATTTTCTTATCACCAAGCTGTGGGTTGGAGTTCCTTAAGACTTTTTTTTTTTTTAACTGCTATCAACTTTTTAGACTCCTTTATAAAGCTGCTTCTGCATAGGTGAACATCAAATAAATGATCAGGAGGTGAATTCAATCATAAAATATTATTTGTAGGATTGTGCTGTGTATCTTTTTGAATCCATCCTATGTACAGTGTAAACTTGAGTAACCAATAAAATAAAGATCACAATGTTTAGCATTTCTACAAGTTCAAATGCATTGTCAGAGCCGGGGATTTAGCTCAGTGGTTCCACCCTCTGCGTTCCAAGTGCAAGGTCCCAAGTTCAATCCCCGGTACCAAAAGAAAAATGCATTGTCATCTGTGCAGGAATACATTTTCTACCAAATTCAAATTGTATTTTATCTTGAGAATATGATTATTGAACAAAATTTCCAATGAGACTACTTTGGCCCTTAAATGATAAATGTCTACTCTCAAATATGAAAAGTAAGCCATGCACTACAGCAAAACATTTGATGATTACAAATTTATTTCCTTCTAGCCTGCTCACTACTGATAACAGCTTGGTCTAAAAATGTACTATGTGCCAAATGTAATATTTGTTATATGAATATATTTTAAAACAAAAGGAATAAAGCTGTAATGGCACTAACTTAACATTTGTAATTAATTTGATGCTCAAAATATGGCACTGATAGCTCTTTAAGAGATTAATCTGTAATGTAAATTATCCAAATTCCTTTTTTAAAAAACTCTTAGCATCCAAAATCTGGTCTACAACAACCACTTAATAAATGTTAGTGAATTCAAAGACTGAAAATTGATGATTGCCTTATGCATTTTAAAAAATAACCTTTTTAGAAAATAGTATTTATGTGTTTAAATTTTTGCTTATTTCTAAAATTTCCATGGAATTCTAATGAAGAATGTAAGAATCTAACTCACTAGTTTTGCTAAGTGACTGACAGAAGTGATTCTATTCTCTCTTAGTTCAAACGAAGTTCATGTTTCTGTACCTATAATTTTAGGTGGCTACTGAATTTACAGGAAACAAAGAAATTTTCTTCTCAGTATGTCTCTATTAGTAGAAAGGCTTAATGCCATTAAACAAGTTGTGAATCCGCAGAAAGGTTATGTTGTAAACTATTGATATAAAATATTTAGTTATTGTCAAATCTATCGAAAAGATTAAAAGATTAAAATTATTATAGTAGCCTATTTTACAAGGGTGTAGAGCCAATAGCACTCTAAAGCACGGCTGTAAAGCATTAGTACATTTGCTACATTTTAAACTCCTTAAAATAATTACATCTTCCCTTTGTTCAGGAATCCAGACTTCCTTGGCCTCCCTCCTCCCCTCAAGCATATATGAATAGCCCAAATCCAGGAGTGAGAACTTCTGCTACTCCTTTGCCCCTTCCAGTGATTAAGTCAAGAAGGAGCAAATGGCCTGACTTTGACCAAAGAGGCTCCAAAAGAAGGTTATGAAAAGCTTTGGAAAATTCTTATTAGCACATGTATTCAGTATCCATCACACCTCTTATTTATAATGTTTAAAAACTGTAAATTCCAAAATGTGAAATAAATTGATTTGTTCTAAGAAGATTGCTCAACTGATAGAAAGGCTGATGTAGTCCTTTGATGATGAGAATGTCTTGATACAGTTGGGGGGAGCAAGTTAAAATAGTATTATAGATGTATTCTAAATAGCATTCTAAATATACATTTTATTAGTTATTTCTGTAAATGCATTTTGCACTACAAGACTACCTGACAGAATCAACAGAGGAGCTAAAAAACTTCAGGAAACCAGGACTGTTTTGAGAACCTCAGATATAGACACTGAAACTCTAGAAAGCCATAGAGAAGCTCCATCTTTCAAATTTTCCACTTAATGGAAGTTGGTTCCATTCTCTTATCAGTGACAGCCAAGCAGCGGCAGAGCAGTTGGCAGCTGATAGTCCATTTTAGCCACCAAAACGAAGAGGTGGCTTCTGTTCCCAAGCTTCACTTAGAAGAATGCCAGAAAATGGTCCTCTTTGGCCCACCTTGAGTTACAAGCCAAGCCCTGAAGACCAGGAATCAGGTCCTGTAATTGGCTCACTTTGAGCTAGGTCTGTGCCTCTTGAGCAACCACGGGGCTGAATAGGAAAGACCAGACAAATGACACTTCCCTTTCTAACTACACCTCCAGAGAAGTAGAGGCAGAAGCAGAAGCCACAGAGGAAGGGCAGTCCTATCCCAAAGAAAGGAAGTATGGCGCCGGGAATTTAGCTCAGTGGTTTCACCACCTGCTGCGCAAGCGCAAGGATCCGAGTTTGATCCCCGGTACCTAAAAAAAAGTATGTTGAGCAAAGTAAACACTGCATACATAAAATGAAGTGACAATCATAATTAGCTAGAGAAACATTTAAAAGATTAATGAGTGATCCTTGGTCTCTCTTCCCACAACTGGAAAGGTGTGAGAAAGTTTTTGGGGTTTTTTGTTGGAAGGAGGGTGTCACTACTCAGGATCGAACCCAGGAGCTCTCTAGTACTGTACTACATCCTGAGTCTTTTTTTATTTTTTTAATTTTTTTGAGGCAAGTCCTTGAGAAGTCACCCAGACAGGACTTGAACTACCAATCCTTCTGTCTCACCCTCCTTCAGTGCTGGAATTACAAAAGTGCAACACCATGCCTGAGAAAATGCATTAAAAAAAAAACTATCTAGAAGCTGTGGCACAGGCATGTAGTCCTAGTATTCTGGGAGGCTGAAGGAGGAGGATCATAAATTCAAGCGTGGCCTGGGTGACTTAGCAAGACCTGGGGGGGGGGGCAGTGAGGGGAGATGTAGCTCAGTGCAAGGACCTGGGTTCAATCCCCAATACTACAAAAAAGAAAAAAGCCAAATAAAAAACTTCTTAGGAGTTTATGGCATGTACTCTAGCCCTGGCGAATTATGTTACTTGTGTAACAAAAATGTGTGTATGCGTGTGTACTAATCGGAAAATAAATGAGAAAACATAATTCCCTAAATCAAAGTTTAAATAGAAAATTTACTATACGAGTTTTTCGACCTTTCAATTAAATGGGGGTAGTTTTGTGTTAAGCCATCTTAGTGTCATCTTTGCTTTGCCTTTCAAACACAGTTTATCTGCAAATCTACAAACTTCAAATTATGTAAATACTGTAAATACCTGACTGGAAAAATATTTTGCTCACATGTTCTTGAGAAAGAACTCAGGTTCTGGGGTCTGATGCCCTTGGGGCTTTTACGTCACCACACGAACGAGGTCTCTCCAAGGAAATGCGGCATCAATGACTTTAAAAATAAAACACCGGGCAGAACGCTTTTGGGAGGAATGACGACAGGTATAGCATCACGACTCTGCTATTCTTATTGGTATGTGTGCAAAGTGGACAAAACTCGCTTCCCAAAGCTGCCCTCTCTGCTCCGGTTCCTTTCTGTCTGTCCCAAGAACCGCAGTGCGCGCGGCGCCGCCCGAGGCGTTCCTTGGAAAGTTTCCCCGGCTTGATTACTTACAGACGGGACAGCTCTGTTCCCACTGCGCTTCCTACATCCTGTCCGAGCGGTTATTACCCAACGCTACCCACGTTCCGATAACAAGGAGATTCCGCGAACTCCGTCCCAGTCCCTGAAATATAGCGTGACTGCCCTCCCCGCCGGGGCTGTAAAGTGGCAGCCGGGCGCCGGCCTCCAGCGGCACCTGCGCCGCCCGCGGGGCGAGGGCCGCCCGGAGCACGAAGTGCGTGCGGCCGCCGGCTTGCAGGTCACGCAACGCGGCCGCCCCGCCCCCAGCCCCCCAACCTCCGCCCTCGCTGCTTTCGTGCGCGCCGGGGGCTTCCTGGTCGCCCGGGGCCCGCCTCGCGTGCCGACTGGGCCGCGTAATCCGCCGAGGAATCCGATTCCGGGCAGCCCCGATGCCCTCGCTCCCGGGAGCCTGGGCGGGCGACGCCCTCGTCCGAACGCCGTCGTTTCCATCTGCAAGGTCGAACGGCAAACTTCTCGGAAGGAGGGCGAGGGGACAGCGGGCGGGGACTCGGCCTCGGCCCCCAGTGCCCTCGGCGCCCGCCCCACGCCCGCTCTGTCGAGCCGGGCGCGGAGCCCCAGCAAGGGACGCCCGCCTCAGCCCCGTTTCCCCGGAGTCCGGAGCGCGCGGGGGGGCGCCTGCGACCCGGCCCCCTCGCCAGACGGCGGAAGGGGGTGGTAGCTATCCTTCCCGGGGCGGTGAGGGGCAGGGTCGTGCAGTTTGAAAGGTCAGGTTGTTTGGTGACATCTGGGGCCCGTCTTGTAAAGAATAAGTTTGGGAGGGGCGTCTGCATCGCTGGCACGAACGCTCGGGGCAGGCGTGCAGGCGAGGGGAAGCGCGTGTCGTGACGGGAGGCGATGAGATCAGCCTGAATAACCGCAGCACGGGGCCAGGCAATGCAGCCAGTCACGCAGCCGCTGCAGGCCGGGCGCAGCGTCTCCTTCGGTGGCCCCGCCGCCCCGAGCGCCGGTTCCAATAGAGGGAGCCGGGGGCGGAATAGCCCCTCCCAAGCCGGGCCGGTGAGGGCGTCAGAAATATTCCGAGGGGACGGCGAGGCAGCTGAGAGCCCAGGAGAAAGCCCAACAAAATGGGTCTTGCACGGTCAAGGGGATGGATTCTATTAGGAAGTTACCTTAAGAGACGCACGGTGAAAATCACCGCTGTGAATCAGTGTTCTACTCTGTACCCTCAGTAGGTAACTTTAAAAACTGTAACATTGAACTCAGAAGTCATTAAAATATGCTTTTAATTTGCTTATGTTACTTCGTTTAACAGGCAGTAGACACAGCTTGCATATTTGTGCATGAAATTTAATCTATACACGCAAGTCTGGAGGCTTGGTTTGGCAAGAGGAATAATTGTGAGTTCAGTAAGAGTCACAGGGTACAGTCAGATTACTTAAAAGGACAAATGAACTGGAAATAATTCAATTTATGACATGAAGAAGCCATTACAGTCTTCTTTTCATGGTCTTGAACATCTTGTACCAAATCGACAATATACAGCAAAAATTTTCTAATTAGACTTAGAAAATGCAAGTATTCAGCTGTGTGCCAGATAAACATCGAAAAAAAATCCAGCCTTTATAGATACGTGAATAACATCTGTGCCATAAGAGTCATATCTACACCCCACCTCCCCCAGTTCTAGGGATTGAGCCCAGGGCCCTGCATGCTATGCAGGTGCTCTGCCCCTGAACTACAGCTGCAGCCTCAGCAAAATTTTTGTATTTAAGTCATTTACTTAGTATGTATGTGATTCATTGGTAGGTATGCCACTGTGTAACCATTAGGATTAGTCACACTGCACAGAAAAATCTCTGCTCTGAATTTATGAGAATTTCTTTTTATACAGATTGTAATGTTGATATGATCTGGATTCAGTAAGGACTTAGTGTTTAACAAACTATCAAATTCATATATTAAAGGAAGGAATGAGTGAATGAATTAATATGTAGGCAGTATTCTCTAGTGGCTAGAGCCATAAATTAAATTGTCATGAGGGAGTAGTGCCAGCCCTGCGTCTGACTCACATGTGATCCTGGTATGGTGGAAATAAGGCTTACAAGGGCCTGTCTCACCAGAGGTGGGGCGAGCAGTACCTTACCACAAGTGCTTTGAGTCTTTAGGAGGAACAGAAGATGATATATTCAGCTAGTATAAGTAACACCACTGTTAAGACTGTCATACCTAAAATTACAAAAGTATGTCTGCAACTTTACCACCAGTTTTTTAAATTGTACATAGTCAAGTACTAACACACAGTATAGAAGGCTGGATCCTGACAAGATACTTGGCCTATGGAAGCTCAGTATCATTGTTCATGCTGTGCAATGGACATTTGAAATAATCAGTATTACTCTAATATTAGTAATAGAATTATACATAAGAAATATATATAATAATATCTAGAACTAGTATGCTATTTAGTAGTATCTGTGGTGATGGTATTTTCTGAGCTGAGACCCAGCTCATGAAGTGCTTAGAAAACTTAATTTTTGATGACTTCTTAATATGTAGAACCTTTTATTAAAAATTTATTGGTACATTTTCAATATACATAATGATAACATTCATCATAGGGAATTTCGACCAGTGCATGATATATCTTGATTCTTTTAATATATAGGCCCTTGAAGGCAAGGGAACTCCTTGGTCTGATTTTGTGTTGCTAAATGACTAAAGGTTTAGGGTTAGAAGTTTATTCAACATATTAAGAGAGCCTCTGTGTGTCAGGCCTTGTTCTAGGGTGTAGTACGATGAACAAACAAAACATTATTAATGTTTAAATGTTTTTGGTCTTTTTTTAAAGATAGATCACCCAAGGGCCGATGATTTAGCTCAGTGGTTCCACCACCTGCCTCACAGGCACAAGGTCCTGAGTTCAATCCCCGGTACCAAAAGAAAAAAAAAGATCACCTTAGGAATACTAACACCTTGCACACTCCTTGTATGTGTAAACATGAAATTGTCTAGTTTGAGGCTTTTAGTAAAGGATCTTTGAGAGGAAAAGGAGAGGCACCACACAGATAGGACTTTTTAGAAGAAAGCTCAGGATAGGACAGGTAGTTTGAGCTGGAATCAGGAAGTCAAGTGCCCATCCTTCATCTCTTCTGTGTAGAAAACTCTAAAACGAAAGCACACAATACTTTTACCATTCTCCTTATCACAGTTACTTCCTCTTTCTCAGTGCCCTCTCCCATCATGTTGAGGCTATGCATGGTCTTTGCCAGGACTCATGTAGCTATTCAGATTGCTGACTGCATAATGGTGCTTGGTGGACCATAAGGGGAGGTGGCAACCACTGAACTCCAGTCCTAGCTTCACCCACTAAGGTGCATTTCATCTACCTTAGGAAGGTTTGTTGTCTTCAGATTTGACAAAAAGACCATGAAGCTGCAATAGCTTTTTTTTGTTCTTCAGGATTGTAAGGCAACATGTCCCTTGATACGTATTTTCCTGTTGTATTTAATAGCATTGGTCTGCTCTGGTCTCAAGACAGAATTCTGAGTGTTGGGGGTAGTGGGAATCCAAGGCTGAAGAAAAAGTGAACCCCAATCACCTTCCAAGGTGTTGATTAATTCATATCTATGTAAATTAAGACCAGCCAAGCCATGATGATGCTGTGTGAAATGTTGTGCAGAAAAAGAAAGCAATAATAGAACAATCACCTGCCTTTTCAATTTTAACAAAATGGAAGAACTATCAGCTCACAACAGTTTACCTCAGTCTTGCATTGCAACTGTGGAGTGTTGTCAGAGAATGTGGCTGCACACTTTGGCTGAGCTCATTTATAGAGTTTGATATCAGATGATTTGATATAGGGTGTGTATCCTCCTGAATCCTGGGGATGGCCTTGGGATTAAAACATTTTCTTTTTCCTGTTGCTAACTTCCCTGTAGTCTGTTGACATTACATCATGGTACAAACAGTAAGTAGAGTGCCATGTCAGGATGTAGTGACCTGATTAGTACAAACTTCTGCAGGGGAGATGTGCAAATAGATGAGCCCCAACAGGACCTAAAGAACCATGTGGTTTTGAAATCCTGGGTGGATGAGCCACACCCTGTATATACCTTAAATCTCTTAGTGCTTTGAAGGTATAATTATTGTTCGACTACTCCAGAAACAGAGTTACTTAAATCTTTGTGTAATAAAATGAGAGTTCAACATTAAAATGTGCAAATTTGTACAAATCTGGAATTAATGTTGTATGGGGCATAAAATGATCCAAATGAATTAACACATTTTAAAATATAGTTTCTAGGGCCAGGGGATTTAGCTCAGTGGCACCGCGCCTGCCTTGCAAGCAAAAGGTCCGGAGTTCAATCCCCAGTATCAAATCAATCAATCAATAAATAAAGTTTCTAGTGATAATTAAACAATCAGTTTTGTAACTTAACAACTTAGGCCTAAAGCAAATGAGACATATGAAGGTATCTGATTATCTGTGCTACACCGTTTATCATTTCACTTATCAAAGATTTCCATGATATTTAATTAATGTCTAGTATTTATCAAAGCCTTTAAAGAATGTTGCTTTCAATTTTATGTGGCTTTAAAGTGGGAAAACCAATTAAAGAGTTCAAGTAAAATATTTCATAAACTCTGTGGCTTCCAAAAATAAGAAAATGAAAAGACTTGTGGATCTATATATAGAAGACCCTTGGTGAATTAATTTATTACTATAAACACATAATCCCCACCTTGAGACAAATGTGGCCTGCAATAGATTGTTCCTTGTTTGAAGATAGAGACTATGGCTTGGTGATATTTGCATTGCAAATACCACCTAATACATGATGATGGTTGAATGAATCAATTAATGAATGTGAGAGAAAACCCATCAGAACTCTAGTCCCCAGGCCTTCCTGCTTCTCTCCTGATGAGTACCTTCCCAGATTATAGATGTTTTACATGAACAAGGAAAAAGGAAGCAATCCAGATGGGAGCCTGGCTGTGGTCAGATGTCTCTGAAATGAACAAAGTATTTGCAGATGTTTCAACAAGTGGAGGGATTGGGCCTTGTCTAGGCCACAGAAAACAACTTCCACACCTTGAGGCAACTACAATAAAGTTATCATCACTCATCAGCACAGGATTCTGTTGGAAACTTGAAAAGGCACTCAGGGTTGGAATGCTGCATGTATCCAGACTTGCCTTAGGAATGCTACAAGTGATCAGACCTAAGCATAGAAATTAATGTGATTTGTTAAAATAGCAAGCAGGATCATGGTTATCTGGGAATCAAATCCTTTAATCACTTTAGACATAATTAATGAAACTAGAAGAAACCATCATTGATTTTGAGAGTCTCCTTCTAAATTAGTTGCCCTTTGGCTTTTGGAGAGCAAAGTTCAAATTCCAGTTCCTGTCTGACAGGAAAATAAGTCAGACACAAAGTAGATAGTCTTTTAGACTCCAAACTGAAACAGCAGGGCATAAAGAACATCTGAGTCAAAGAAACCTTCTCAGAGTTGCTGAGTTCACTTAATGCAGTATTTTTCACTGTGCCTTTTGGTGTTTTTTAAAAGGATATTTGTCTTTGCTCCCTGATATAAATAAAAATTTTTGTATTTTCTAATGAAAAAGTTCCAAATTCTGTTATGTTTTGTGTGTGCTCATTTAGAAGCCCATTAGCTTTCAGATTTATAATGGAAATTGGAGCCTATGATTATAGGTACCAATATCTTAATACAAAGGCACCTTAAAAAATTCTCAGGACTAGGCTAGGCAATTTATTAGTGTTGTGTTCTGGACATACTATCATCTGAGCCTATTTTCTCATCTATTATATGGTAACAATTGGAGAATAGTTTTGCTCTTGTGTCAGTAAGCAAGAAAGTATTTTCTAAAGCAATAAGTGGAAGTATGGCAACACTGAATTTGTTCCCTAAAAGTCAAACTTTTAAAGTGAAAACACCACCTTACAGTAGCAAAGCTGTGTGACATTTAAGTCCTGGAGACAAGCATTTTATTACACCAAAATGAAAGTTTAAAAAAAATGTGGTAAGGAATGGAAGAATACACTAATGCTTATTAAAATTAACTAGCATATTTAGAGTAGGAACAAAAACCAAACATTAATGGAGAATTACATATATTGCTATTCTAAGTGAATTGTCCTTTCTAAATATTGGAATTCAATACACAAAGCTAAATGCCAATGCCGGCAGCAAATCATTCTATTTTTAAAACCAGAAAGACCTCAGAGATGTAACAGACTTGCTGAGTCTTCCTATTATAGAATCAGATCATTAGAACAAAGAAGAAACTTAAATGTCATCAAGATCAAATTCTTTAAAGATGAAGAAACAAATTCAGAGAGGATAATTTATTCAATAGACATCATCATTATTACTATTTTTTTTTTTTTGCAGGTACTATGCAAGGCACTGGTCTTCATCTGAAGATTTATCAGCATACAAGACAGATGTGGTCTCTTGCCTTGGATCACACAGTTAATGGAGGAGCTGGAACCAGAAAAAAAACTGTAGATTTTTAATTAAAAGAACTTCCATTAATCAAATGCTGACTCTATACCAGGCCCGAAGTGTTTCACCTACACTAAGTCATATAATCTCTACTTATGGTAGGGCAGAACACACCTTCCCACTCCTAGGGCCTCCTGGCCCATCTCTCCTGCCTCCTTTTCTCTGCCCAAGAGGGAAATGGCTTATCTGTGTTTGGAAAGATTAACAGAGCCCAAGTAATTCAGTCCCATCTCTTATCTCTCGTTTTTGGTAGGCAGAACTGGCTGTCTGAAAAAAGTTTGTTCAGCTTTGCTCTTACAGATCCTATGGAGAACTGGGGCAGAAGATCAGCAAGACACATACTGGGGTTTAAAATTAGGAAGCCCAGTTTCTCACATCAGCTTTCTCATCAAATGAGTTACTCTGTGTATATGTAATGGAGAAGCATTTCATAAAAATAACAAGTAACTGTGCACTATCTAAACCAGTTGAGCTCTACCTAAAATGTATGCTTGTGCCCCATATTCTGACCCCAGTTGCCATAGCACCTAGGAAATTGTGTCTTAAAATGATATCAATCTAACATTAACAGCTTTGACCCAATTTCCACAATTTCTAAAACTGTGATGTCCAACTGTTGGGCTTTTTGGGAGGCAGTGTTGAAATACATTGTACATGAGATTTATAGAATTAGGAAAACTTAGGTTTGAGTTAACTGTGAATAAGTTTCTGTAATTTTGAACCTCTTTTTTTTCCTCTAAACTGTAACACAGATTACCTTGCTGAACTCACATGGTCCTTTAAGGCCCAGAGAGGATAATGGATGTGCACATGCTTTTGAAACTGCACAGGGCCATAAATATGTTAGTTTCTTTACAGGTTTGAAGAGCAATCCTGGAATAGTAGTTCTCATTTTTTTTTTTTTTGGTACCAGGGATCGAACTCAGGACCTTGTACTTTCGAGGCAGGCACCAGAACCACTGAGCCAAATCCCCGGCCCAGTAGTTCTCATTTTTACTGTAAAATTTAGGCCTGACTTTATACACCAGTGGTTGGAGAGTTAGGTGGTTAATAATAGCCTAGGTGGTTATTTAAAAGGCTGAGAATCACTTTACCAACTAAGCTCTCCCCTCTCCCAACTAATTTAAAAAAAAAAATCTCCTTTGCTGGGCTTGGTGGTGCATACCTATAATGCCAGCATTCAGGAAGCTGAGGCAGGAGGATCACTCCAAGTTCTAGGCTAGCCTGGTCTACACAGTTCAAAGCCAGCCTGAACTACATAGTAAGACCCTGTATCAAAAAACCAAAAATTGGGCCGGGGATTTAGCTCAGTGGTTCTGCGGCCTGCCTTGCAAGCACAAGGTCCCGAGTTCAATCCCTGGTACCAAAAAACAAACAAGAAACAAAAAGAACCCCCCAAAATTAAATTAAATTTAAAAAAATTTAAAACCCTGCCTTCCATTGCTGTTTACATTCCTTCTAGGTATAGTCTCTTGAATTAAGCAATCCCTCTCCCAGTGACTTCTTTGAATTTTGGGCACAAATTTTTCTACTAGGAAGAAGCATCAGGGCATGTAAGGATTGGATTTGGGGAAGGATTTGAAAAAGAAAAAAAGGTTGAAGGCATGTAATAGGCACAGAAAAGTCTAGGCCGTGAAAGTACAGATAGGAAATACGTCTTGCTTCCTTTGATGAATTAACCTATCTTAACCTGAGAATCAGGAGAAATGGATTCCAGTCCTGTCTCTGTGATGACCCAGCTGTGTGACTCTGGCTACGTAAATTGATATCTCCAGGTCTCAGTTTCCTTAACTATAAAACGAATTCTTTAGATAAATGTTCTCTAAAACAAGTCTCACAACAAATATTGTATAATTCTAGAAAAAAATTCTATGATCTTTCTCTCCCCTTTTAACATTTAAGTATCATCTTCCCCCAGAAGAAAAAAATTACCTTAGAAGTATCTATAATAAATATAGTAACAGTGGTAGTAGTGTGTATAGGCAGCAATGACAAAGTTATACCAGACCACTAGAGAGAAACATTTCTTAAATGAAAAATAATAAGCAGTTGTACTATCACACTTAAAACAGTCTTATAAGGAAAGAACTCTCCTGGAGAAATCATTCTACTTATAGTTGCATTCTGATTTGTTTACAGTTAGTTTAAAAATTGTTGTGCCCTCCAAATAGTACTTGAAATATTTTTAAAAACTAAGGAATACATACCAGCATTTAAAGCAGCGACCAGCCTAAAAAGCATGCAGGCTTAACAATTGCTTTAAGGAAACAAGTGGATGAAATATGTGCAACTGTAAAGTTCTCAAAACAATACATTTTTCTCCTAAGTGTGGAGGACAGATTCTCCATGTTTTCCCGCATGGTGATAATTTTGTTTACTGCATAACTAAATTTAAACAAAAGAACAGAAAGAGGTCAGTCACATGAGCTGGAGCATTAAGAACAAAACAATTTGAAGAGGGAAATCCACTGATTTAGTATTAATCATGATGACAATCTGTTGGAACCCATGCTTTTCATGTGCTTTTATAACTTAGCCAATAGCTTTGGTGTCTTTTATAAAATTCCACTCCAGGGACCAACAAACAGTAGTACTATTTCTCTTGTTTATATAAATGGCCAATCCCAAATCACTCTTTTCTACTAAACTCTACTGCTGCCAGAACAAAAGACTGCAACCATCACTATAAGGCTAAAGATGGAAGACCAGAGAAAATCGGGGCTTTGAGAAAGAAGATAATACACAGGGAAGACTATGGCCTTTGAAATCAGCCTTGGTTTCAAATTTTGGGTCCGCTAAGTCTAGACACTTAATGCTCTGTTTTTTATTCTTCTCATCTGTGAGAGATGAGGCTAATTCCTGCCTTGCAGTTGTGAGAAATCACAGTACTACATATAAAGTACCTAATAGGCCACACAGTAGATGTTATAATTCCTTTGTAGATGTCTCAATGGAAGAAATAACTCTCTGCTTCCTGTTTTAAATTTGAAACTTTGTTTCTTCCAGCTCTTAATTTCTATGAAACTGTGCTGAAATTCAGAAAATTTGCATTCTTTCACACTTACCACCTTGAAAAGTAATGATAGTCCAAAGAATAGCGTCTATCTTCTAATATTTAAAAAAAGGAGGGGAGAGGAGCTGGGGATGTAGTTTAGTAATAGAACACTTGCTTAGCATTCTTGAGGCCCTGGGTTTGATCCCCAGCACATAGGTGGAGGTGAGCAAGGTGATTGTTGAAAGAGTAAAGCAAAGCTGTTGGGAGTCAAAAGAAAATGAGCAGAAGCAAAAAACAAAGGGGAAATCCAGGTCCTCTGCAATGTCATTCAGCCACATGAAAGAGGTATTTAAGCTCCCTGAATAGTTTTCATGAAAATTCTAATAACTTCCAAGACTTCCCTTGCTTGATTGATCCGATTGTAATAGTTCTTTAAGTTGAAATTTTTCTTAGACTTTTTCTTAGACTTTTTTCCAGACTGTCAAGTTTCTACTCATTTTTCAAAGTTTGCCCTAAGGGTGAGTAGGGGACCAGCACACATAACGCTTATTATGGGCCCAGCATCTTGCTAAATGCTTTAATTATTTCATTTACAATGAACAGCAGACCCGAAAAGTTGATCTTATCAACTCGTTTATACAAAGAAGCAGAAAAAAAATTTTTTTACCAATAAATAAATAAATAAATAAATACATGTTCAAGCCAGGAAACGGAGCCTGAGACTATAGGATCCAAAACGTCCAGTTTTTTCCTTTCTATCACAATGCACACATCCTTGATTCCTTTAATCAAAATTAATGGTCCCTATTTCTACTCTCTTTCACTTGCCTTGTACTTTTTTATAGCAATGATTTAATTTCATTTTATATTTTACAGTATTTTCATTCTTTATACTGCTGGCTGTATTCCATTCATCAAATATTTGTTGAGTACTTTTATAGGTAAAATATTGGATCATATTCAGGCTCTAAGCAGATTGTAGACTGTTTTTCTGTTTTTTAAATTATTATTTTTTAAATGTGGTAGGGCTGGCATGTAGCTCAGTAGTAAAGTGTTTGCCTAACATCACATACAACTTACTATCTGAAACCATTTCGGGGGTAGGGGGGCAGTACCAGGATCGAACTCAGGACCTTGCACTTGCGAAGCAGGTGCCACACCACTGAGCTAAATCCCTGGCCCTATCTTAAACCATTTTTAAGGGTACAGTTCAGTAGTATTAGATGTGTCCACATTGTAGTGCAACTGTAAGTTACTTTATTAGTGTCTGGAAGCCCTATAGTGCCTGGCATACATTTGGTCAGGAATGTACTAATCTGCCTTAATTTCTTGGGTGGCTCTAACAAACACCATAAACTGAGAAGCTTATAAGCAATAGAAATTTATTTCTCATGGTTCTGCGGGTTAGGAATTCCAAGACCAAGTTTCTGGTAGATTTGGTGTCTGGTGAGGACCCATGTTCTGGTTCACAGATAGCACTTTTCTTGCTGCTTCTCACATGATGTAAGGAAAAAGTTGGCTTTCTGGGACCTCTTTTATAAGAGCACTAATCCTATGAAGTCTCTTCCCTCCTTACCTGATCATCCTCAAAAAGGCCTCACTTCCTAATATCATCACCTTGGGAGTTAGGATTTCAACATCTGAATTTTGGATGGGCACAATCATTTAGATCATAGCAGCAACTCAACCCCAAAACTGCCTCTAGACTGACTCCACCCTTCCCAGAGGAATCTTGGCCCTGGCAATAAAGATAGGATTATTATTTCTAAAGAAAATTATTTTAAATATTTCCAAATAACTATCATACTCTCATGTCTTTAATTTTATTTTCTAAATAGCTCACAAGTTCACATGGTTCAAAAGTATAAAAGGATGTATGATGAAAACTCCAATTCAGTCCCCTAGACATTCAGTTTCCCACCCTGGTCAACATCCTTTTAGAAATGTTTTAGGCATACATAAGCAAAAAGCACACATTTACACAGACTTCCTCTGCCCCACCTTCTGCACAATTTGTAACATATTGTACACATTCTTAGGCAGCTTGCTTTTTTCATTTAATATATCTTGAAAGTTAATGCCTCTTACTACATTCAGTTTTTACATTTTATGGGTGTATCATAATTTACTTAATCTGTTTCCTGTTAATCAGGATTTAGGAATTTTTTTTCTTCTTTTTTGCCAATCTCTTATTAGTAAAACATTACTGCAATGAAAACCTTACGTATGTCATTTTACAAGTGAGTAAGCGTGTCGGTAGAATAAATTTCTAGACTTGGAATTACTTGGTTAAGGTGTGCGCATGTCCAGTTTTGGTAGACATCGCATAGAGTGAGACAGTTCAATCTGTGCCTTAACAGGTTCTGCAGGTTTGTACAGGTACCTGAGGAGAGACTCAGAGGGAAAAGGAGAGGTCATGCACTTGGGATGGGGGGCCCACCGCCCCTGTATAATGTGACCAAGAGCCATTTATGCTTATAATAAATGAACACATTTCTATCTACTAGGATTTAGGATGTTCTTAAACCTTCTAAATCAGACACACTTGTCCCCTGTCTACTGATACATATGTATTATCAAGCATTTTCTCCACCAAATTGGATAACAAAAAATCTACTGAGGCAGTAATCCCTTGACTTCAGTGGATATAATACCCACACTTGGCACTCATTTGACAGTTTAGATGGGGCCAGGCCTTGAACTAATGGACCACTCAGGGCTTTTAACAAGTGCTTGCCTGGCAAGACTGTCACCCCACGCAGTCAGACTATGAAGTCTGGTCTAGGTAAGAGAATGGGCAAGAATGACATTCTGAGTTCAGTTCAAAGATGCTTTACTTTGATTTATTCCAAAGCTGTGTGTAACCAGTGCAAAGGATAGACATGAAGTAAGGCAGATGCTGCTGTCCATTGCCTCCTTTGTTTTCTACAGAGACACTATAAATTTGGTGGTCTTGGCAGCCTGAAGAGAGTAAGATGTCTGGGAGGTCAGGGGAGCCCAGAAATGTGGGCTTACTCTCTTTCATACTTCCAGCCACATTAGCAACCAGAAACAACTTATGCTACCATATAAGGCAAAAATTTACTTACTCACCGAGCTGCTTCATTCAGGCTAATGTCCAGATTACAGACCTTGAAATGCTTGTGGTGCCCGGCCTGGGACAATCTCTCCTTATCTACACCTGGGCAGCAGGGTGTAGGAGTTTTCCACTTATTTTGCAGGCAGGACTGGCCTTGGTCTACCACAAACACATTTAGCCCTTAAGTTCACAAATAAACTCTGGGCCTCCTCCTGAATTAACACAGGGTAAAGGACATTTGTGCTGATTCTGATCATCCAACTCCATGGCCCACACTTTCCACTTTGCTAATCACTTTGCCTCATCTCTTGCTGATTATTCTTGATTGCAAAAGCCCAACTCTTCAATTGCTGCCTGATTCTTTTGTCCCTCAAAACTATTCCTTCTGTGAAACAATTTGTCACTTGCATACATGCAACTCTCATCATTTCGTTTTCATTTTAAGTGTTTATTCTCTCCACTTTTGTTTCTATCATAGTCACATGCATCCTCTTCCTAACTCTTAACAACAGTCTAACAGCCTTTGCACTATCTGGACACAGAGTCAAGAGTGTTCATCATAAAGTATGCCCCAAATCTATGCACAATCATAGCAAACATTGCCAATGACTAAAATGACCACCTAACCAAGCATCGTGGCACACACTTGTAATCCTAGCTCTTGGAAGACTGTGGCAGGAAGATTGCCCCAAGTTCAAGGCCAGCCTGGGCTACAGAGTGAGTTCAAGGCCAGCCTGAACTACCTAATGAAACCCAGCTCCCCCCCCCCCAAAAAGACCACCAATAATTGGTAATGTCATTAGTCTTTGTCCCAATAGGACAGATGAGCTTTTCCTGAAGCACAGTTTGTTGATGTCTGTGGAAGTACATTGATTTAACTTTCTTTCTTTCTTTCTCTTTCTTTCCTTCCTTCCTTTCTTCCTTCTTTCTTTCTTTCTTTTTTTCCTTCCTTTCTTTCTTTCTTTCATACCAGAAATTGACTCAGGCCTGGTCTTCACATTGAGGTACATCCCCAGCCCTTTTTTGTTTGTTTGTTTGATTACTTGGACTTTCACCTCCCAGAACTATAAGGAATTAATTTCTGTTTTCCATAAGCAACCAAGACTATGGTATTTTTGACAATAGGAACCCAAACAATATAGGACAAAGAGAAAAGGTCATAATTCGAAATGAATTAAAGAACAAAAGCATCTTATTTTTAGTTGTCTGTGGAATAAAAATGAAACAGTCCTTGGGGGCTAAGATTACAAGAAACTGTAAGATTTTCTTTCCTCTGGGCCAAGTTTAACTGCCTGTGGTATGATTGAAAGCTCCAGATGAAATTCTTGAAGTATCCCACACAAATCTCTATAAGGAAGGATGACATTTTAGATGCAGCATAGAAGTTGTAGTGATTCCAGTTCAGCCTACTGCCTGGGCCCAATTTTTGCGGTTAGATGCAATCTCTGGAGGATGCAGAGGTGCCAGCCAGGGAGGCCAAGCACTGGATTAGTGTACAATATAGCACAATTTGTGACTTTTCTATATTCTTCATGTCAACTGTGTTTCTGATACAGTAGATCTTGAAAGCTAAGACACTAATTTTCTCTCTAGGAAGGAAAGATATTGTATTTTGATTGAGTATAGTATCGGGGATTGAACCCAAGGCCTTCACACTGAGCTACACTCCCAACCATTTTTTTTTTTTTTTTTGAAACAGGGTCTCACTAAGGCACTAAGTTGCCCAGGCTGGGCTTGAACTCATAATCCTCCAGCCTCAGCCTCCCAGTGTGCTAGGATTACATACATGTGCTACCACACTTGACAAAAGATGTAATATGTAGAGGTGGATTTTCCCATAGTTTGAGCCTTTTATATTCATTACTAACACTGTTGCCATTTGTGAAAAATTCCTGCCTGTGGCAGATACAGACTCCAAGGTCTCTCACATCTATTTCCTGGTCTCTAGAATCCACTGGGGCAGTGATCCTCTAAGTGTGGTCTTTCAGGCACTAGAATCACCTGGATCCAGGTAGAATGGAAATTTTGGAGCTTCATCACACATCTACCAAATTTTAAATTCTAGGAACCAGGGCCCAGCAGTCTACACTGGAAGAGGCCCTCCAAGGGATTCTGATGCACACTTGAGAATGAGAACCATTATACTTGGGGCATCAGTCTGAACAACAAACCGGGGAATGTTTCAGAAAAGTCTTAGTAGCCCAAGGGTAAGACTTGAATCACTCCACATCCTGCTCTGAGCATTCTAAATGATCCTCCACTCTGGTTTGCCAGCTAGGTGCCCTATCTTTGGAGTACATCTCACAGAGGAGCCCCTGGAACAGGTTCAGTTCTTCCTGAAGTGCTGACTTGAGCACCTCAGCCAGCTTCTCTTGGGCCAATCTAGCTCAGACCTAAGCCAGCTTTGGGACAAATGTAACCTTCACTGCTCTCATGGCTTCCTCTACATTATTTCCTCATGTGATTGTGCAGAGCCTTTGATAAAATCTACCTTACACAATTAGTATTAACTATTTTACATGCAAGGAAACTCAGACATGTAGAATCAAATAACTTGCCATACTTACAAAATTAATAAGTGATGGAATTGAGATTAAATCCAACTGGTCCAACTTCAGATACTATTGAGAAACTGTTTGGGACATTCCTGGGACCCTTTAAAAATGCTGCTCCGAGAAATTCTGTCCACTGTGAGTTGACAGCAAATGTCAAAAAGTACCTTATAATATATAAACCTTCTGTCATCAGTCACTTTGTTTTCCAAAAGGAGGCAATTGATCCAAATATTAATAAATGAAGATACATTTCTAATTTCAAGATGGACATATTTTTATTTCTTTTAACCTGTTTGCTCTTTAAATTTTCTTCAAACCAAGAAGCAAGAGAACCTCCCCTGAATGCCAAGCTCTACTCTGCATACCTCCCTAGAATACCTAATAAGCCTCTCACATGGAACATGTTTAAACAGAACTCCTCATTGCTTACCACCAACCTGTTCTTCTCCGGCCTTCCTTGTCGCAGTAAACACATAACAGCAGTCAAGCCTAAGTCCTGACAGTCATTTTTCATCCCTTCCTTTCTCCTTCCTCCGATATTTGCTTCATCAGTAAGTCATGGGAGTTCTACTTCCAAAATATATACTACATCTCTACATTTTTCCATCTCTACCACACTTATCTAGTCTAAACTACCATTGACTTGTTATGGTTTGGATCAAAACTGTCCCCCAAAAGGCTCACATGTTCAGAGGTGAAACTTTTGAAAGGTGATTAGATCATGGCAGTACTAACTTATCAACAGACGAGTTCACCACTGATAAGTTTAAGCTGAATGTGCTCTTAGGAGATGGAGCCTGGTGACAGGAAGTAGGTCACTGGGGATGTGCCTTTGAAAGGTATACCCTGTCCTCTCTCAGGCTCTTCCTCTGTTCTCTGTTTCCTGGATGCTGTGAGTTCAGCATCCTTCCTCTGCCATGCCCTTCTGCCTGTCAGCCTGTGAGCCAGCTGACCATGGCCTGAAACCTCTGAAACTGTGAGCCAAAGTAAACCTCTTCTTTAAGTTGTTGTTGTCAGGTATTGTGTCAGCCGTGAAAAGCTGAGCAATACACCTCCTAATTAGCCTTCTAAATTTATCATTCTACACCCTAACATCTATTTTCTATACATATTCTGAGTGAATTTTTTTATTTTAAAAATATACATTACATTGACAGGGCTGCAGATATAGCTCAGTGATGGAGCACTTGCCTAACTAGCACAAGGCTCTAGGTTCAATCCTCAGAACCACAAAAGAAATAAATGAATAATAAAAAAATAAATATATGTTGGCTTGTGTCACTGCCTTGCTATCTTTCAGGGATTCTCTGTCATATTTGGAATAAAAACTAAATTTCTTCCTAGGGCCCAAAACGCTCTCAGAGGATACAACCCCTGTCTGTTGCCTGACCACACTGCCTCCACACTCACCCCTGCATAGTTCTCTTCACCACTCTAACCTTCTGTTCTTCAAGAAGGACAGGCTTATTGCTACCTCAGTGTCACAATGCTGTTCCTCTGCCTGAAAATGTCTTCTTATTTTCTTGTGTTGATTCCCCAAGTTCTTCAGTTTTCAAAGTAAAGGTCATTTCTTAAGAAAATCTTTCCATAAGGCCTGGGATTTAGCTCAGTGGTTCCGCCACCTGCCTTGTAAGCACAAGGTCCCGAGTTCCATCCCCTGTACCAAAAAAAAAAAAAAGAAAGAAAAAAAGAAAATCTTTCCATAATCATCACCCTATTTAAAAGAGAAGATTGTATCTCATCACAGTACTCATTTAACATCTTCATGAGGAAGAGGGACCAGAACATGCAACTCCCAAATATGCTGCTTTGACATATTGATCTGAGTTAAAAGCAATTGAATAACAGTAAATGTCAAAAGGAGTGTCTGCTCTCCCCATTTCTTTGGGGGGGTTTTTGGTTTGTTCTTTTTGTTGTTGTTGTTGTTGTTGTTTTTGGTATTGGGGATTGAACTTGGGACCTTGTGCTTGCGAGGCAGGTGGCAGAACCACTGAGCTAAATCCCTGGCCTTGCTCTCCCCATTTCTGCCTAAAAGCAGGACATACATTTTTGGTAAGAAAGACAATTTCTATGGAGAGAACTTTCTTGTCACCAGTGATAGTGAAATAGGAAGATAGGGCATAGCTTAGACTGGCTGGGAAGGGAGATGTGACCAGATCTCAGGACACATTTGCAAAACAATTCGCAGGACCCCATCTGTGAACTTCTCCTAGGAACCCACAATGTGTGGAATGAACAGAAAGAGACAGTTGCCATTAAGCGCTTGCTAACTGCCACTGTAAATTATCCCACCCTATATTATCTAGGGTGTACTTTAATTTTTATTTTTACTTTTAGTTGGTACAAACTTGCTCTACAGAGCCAGTTTCTCCCTTTCCCTTCATTTTTCAAATAAATGTGAAACTTTGCTACCATTTTTGCATGTTTCTTTCAATTCTTTGAGATGGAAAGAACCTAGAAACCATCTCAGAAGGAGACTCCAGAACCCTAAAACCTTGTAACAATAGGGATGAGTCTACACAAACAAACCCTTGCTAAAATAACCCATATCTTCTGTTAGTTTTACCTATGTGTCTGCTAGTCAGACTCCCACAATTTAGGACCTGGAGAAGCCAAAACCCTTTCCTTTGATCTATTTACAATTTTTTACCCTTTGTTAAATGGTAGCTAAGCCTAACTGCTTTGTTGGGATTTTTCACTTTTTTCCTTATGAAATCTCCCATGATATGTAAAAATATTAGCATCACATAAAATGTGTATATCTTTCTCCTATTAGCCTGCCTTTTGTCAACTTAATTCTCAGGGCTCAGATACAAAATGTAAGGAAAATTTTTTCTATCCTGGAGCAGCACTTATTTACCAAAATTATATTATTTATGTTTTTACTTACTGTTTTGTTTAATGTCTTCCTCGCTAAAATGCAAACACAATGAAAGTAAGAGGGTTTTTTTTTATCTTGTTAACCACCATATCTACAGGTTCGACACACATAGCAGATGTTCAATAAATATTTGTTGAATGATCAAATCTGCACAGAGGTGAAGTAGTTTAAATCCTGAGGAGAGCATTTATCTGCAAAAGGAAATGCCAACAGAGCCTCAGTAATCACCATGAACAAAATCATTGGCTTCAGGTCTCAAGCACATTTGTTTCAGGTTCCATGTTACCTAACCGTTGACTAAGTACAATTGATCTTCAATATAAATTGATCTTCTAGTTTAGAGAAAAGGAAGACAACTGTGAAGATTTGAAGGAAGGCAAGTGAACTACGGTAAAGGGCACTGTGAATAGCACAGAACAGGAGGTCTAAAAGTAAAATAGATATCAAAGAATTAAATTCAAAGAATGAAAGCCTGATTTTTAAAAAAGCAATTTTAACACAGAATCCTTGACATAAAAGAGGAAAGGGGAGAAAGGGATAAGAAAGAGGTTAATAAGACTAGAGATAGAAATTAAACAGCAAGACACATTCTGTTTTCCAGTGAATTCAAATTAAATCTTCCACCAAGAACCACATTTATCTATCTATCTATCTATCTATCTATCTATCTATGCATCTATCTATCTAATACATGTACATGCATTTGCTGAGGAGAAGGGTAATCAAAAACACTAAGAAAAAGAAAACAAGTGTGAAGCAGTGGCATTTTCTATGTTGAGAAAGATAACAGCCCTCCAACAATAGTAGGATTGTTGCCTAGTTTTCACTCCAGCCTCTGATGGCCCATGAGGGCATCTTCCAGTTTCATGTGCTATATGGCACTTCCCAGAAGTCTTCTGTGGTTGATCTGATATGCTGCTACTAGGGCAACAAATTTAAATGAATAGAAATGTTCAGTGTGTGCAGTGCTACAGTGATATGTCTTCCCCATAATCAATAGTTGTGTTGGGAAATAGAAAAGCAGCAAAACAAATGACTCTTTTAAAACCTGAACTTTTTAAAATGTAAGAGGTGTTACACACATGCATTTTATATAACAGAAGAGTTTTATAAATCTACAGACTATCCTAAGCACAGTAAGTCCACAACTTAGGAAAGAATTCCATTCCGGGAGAACATTTGTAAGTCAGAGTCATTCGTAATTGGACAAATTGAGTCTTACACAGTACACCTGTGAATCTTATGCTGTATATCTGTGAATGTTCACAACTCAAATGTTCGGAAGTCAGGAACTTACTGTAGTCATATGATTATAGCCATTTCTGATTCAAACTAATTTTTTTTTCAAACTAATATTATAGAAAATAGATTTTTGTTATTTTGAAAAAAAAAGCTTAAAAAGAGGAATATTACAAGGAAAATTATATTGGAAAATCATGCAAAGTTAAGTTTGATGAGAAGTATTCCTCTTATCAAAATTGGCTTGTGACTTTAAAAAAGAATGAATTTGAATAGATTTTTTTAATGATGGCACTGATGTCAGTTTGTCCTCAGTGCAGTGGCTGAGGCACATTAGGAGCAGACAGCCCTGGATTCAGCTTCCAGCTCCAACACACTCTTGCTGGGTAAATCACTTAATCTCTCTGAGCCAAGCTTTCTCATGTAGAATATGGGGGCCTAGGATTATTGTAAGGATTAAATGAGAACATGGATGTCAAACATCTGACACAAAGTAATGTGCAGTATACAGCCATAGTAATTATTAACAAAATGTAATAAATATGTATTTTGTGCTTTTGGCATGGCAGGCATTATTCTAGGTGGTAGGGATGGAAATCAGGGCCTCCTGCAAGATTACACAGTCTGTAACCAAAGTGCATCCACAGGCCACCACTTGCCTCACCCTCTGTGGGAACAAGAAACTCTGGAGCTAGTAGGGCACAATATAGGGTCATATTTTGTAGTGCTTAAGGTGGAAAACAAGATGGGTAAAGCTTCTACCCTAATGAAAGAAATAATATTATTGTGACTTCACATTTTATTAATACCTTATTATTCAACATAAGAATAACTAGTAAGTCAATAAGTACTAAATAAGCACTTAACAAATACTCAATGTTGTGCTAGGTAGGGTACGTAATGTAGGAGTTAGAGGTTGCATTGTTTTTGCAATTAAGTAGTTTAATTTATTAGTTAATTGAGATCCATGAAATGGGGACAAAGTTTACTGAGGTACTAATTTGTATGATGCAATTAAGTACAGGCTGACTTCACTTTTCACAGTAGTAGTTCAGGACTATAAAAAATGACTACACAAGCATAAGCCAGTGGGGAGTGATCCTAATGATTAGTGGGAAATGATTATTCCATAGCCTTTGCAATTTTTTGTATAAACACTAACAATTCTCTTATAATCAGTTATAAATGTACAGGCAGGCAGGAGGATCACTGTGAGTTCAAGGCCAAACTGGGTACATCGTGTGACCTTGTCTCAAAAGACCAAAAAGAATCAGTTATAAATGTATAGGAAAATGAAAAAGTAATCAAATTCACATTTATTTAGTACACATTTGAAATACAAGGACTACAGTGTTTCACTTCTCATACAAATCTCATCAAGGGTGGTTTCAACAGTACTTGCCTTTTTTTCACCATATAACTTACTATTCATCTTTTCTATATTTTGGCAGATTGTCATATTCCTTTCTAAGTTCGGATCAGCTTCTGACATTTCATTCTCTGCACTTTAATACCATGAAATATCTCCAAAGTTTTCTTTAATATGAAGCATTTTCCTGAGTCACTTCCTCTGGGACAGTATAATCCTTTTCATCAATCATGCTCCTCACTGCTGCTGCTAAGCTCCTCTGCTGCATCCAGAGGCTCTCAGACCCCAGCAGTGTCAGCATGGTGACGGTCAGCTTCTTCTGTGGCTTCATTTACCCTGGACTTGAACATCACCTCCAGCATTTTCACTTTTCATTTTTTTGTTGCACTTCTGTGGTCAATTTGCTTTTTTGATGACCCCTTTTTGTAAAATGTCACAGGGGCTTATCACTGGGAGACAAGATGATACAACAGCCAACTTTGCTCTCTGAATGACCTGGACAACAAATGCACAGTGACCACTCGCAACCGTCTTTGAAACAAGTGACCTGATTGTCACAGATCCCGATATGCATCTGCTGTTTACAGAGCGATTTGTGTAGTGAAGCACTAGCAGCAAAGCTTGCACTTCATATGATTACTCACAGTCGATATACCATGGTAACTGAAATTCGAACTGCATTATTGTAGGACCAGTGTGGTTAGTTAAAATATGGTAACAAACTTCTGCATATAAGAATTATCCATAAAGAGAACATTCTATAGCTTTTATTGTTCTTAACTTTTAAAGAAAATGTTGTCATGACAGAAAACTGTCTCATACATTGTAATTGAATTGGATTAACATGAAAGATTAATGAGCGTAATACATCAAAATGAAGTGTTAAACATGTACCTTAACATAACATGCATAAAGCTAATAAATGTCTACTAAATCACAAACACTAGTACACCTATCACACAGCTGCACAGACAGCACTAGGGGCCAAAGTACAACAGCCTCATATTTTCCAATACTTGATTTCACCTTTTTTTTTTTTCACCTCTACTCTTTGCCTTTTATTTTCCTTTTCTTCTACTGAAATTCTGGTCAAATTAAATGTAACACTTGATATTAAAATAGTAGCACTAGCTAGCTGTGATAACAAACACCTGTAATGCCAGCTACTTGGGAAGCTGAGGCAGGAGGATCACAAGTTCAAGTTCAGCCTGGGGAACTTAGGGAGATCTTGTCTCCAAATTTTTTTTAAAAAAATTTTAATTAAATAAAAAGGGAGGATGTAGCTCAGTGGTAGAGTGCTTGCCTAACATGTATGAGATCCTAGGTTCAATCCTTAGCATGATCACCAAAAAGAAAGAACAAGAAAATAATATAAAAGTATTTTCTATCTCCTTACTACCTTGGTACCTTTCTACCTACCTATTCTCTCACTTGGATAATGCTTTTCTACTTCTAATAATGATAATATCATGAGGATGGAAAGTAAGATGGTTTTTTATGTTCAGATTTGTATTATTTAAATACTTCTTGTTGAGCATGGATGAATATGTTTAATGTTTACACAAGCAATAGTAATCCCCCCCCCAACAAAACCAAAATAATTGAAACATTTAAGTATAGTAGTTGAAAAAAATTCCTTTAGAATTTCTCTGAATGGCCTAATTAATTTTTTTAGGGAAGATACAATGTGGCATTTTGAATGACAAAATTGATCTTTACTTTTTCCTTCTATAATTTTATGATATTGATTCTTCCTACAAAACAATCAACTGCTTATTTTTTATATCATTTACTACTCTGTGCTATATGGAAACAATTATTTCCCTACTATTAAAGATTGAAATTATTTTTGTCAAAAAATAAAATTAATAATGCCCTCCCCTGGTTAAAGAGCTGATTTAAAAGTCTGTGTGAGGGGCAGGGATTTAGCTCAGTGGTACCACTGTTTGCCTTGCAAGTACAAGGACCCGAGTTTGATCCCCAGTACCAAAAAAAAGTCTCAGTGAGGAAGCAATACAGAACATTGGTCTGGGCAAAGATTTTTGAATGTGACCCCAAAAGTACAGACAGCAAAAGCAAAAATTGACAAATTGGAATTATATCAAACTAAAAGTTCCTATATATAAAGAAAACAATCAACAGAGGAAATAGACAACCTACAAATTAGAAGAAAATAATTGCAAATTACTCATCTAACAAGGAGTTAATTTCCAGAATATACAAGAAATTCAAACACTTTAACAGCAAAAGAAGAAAAATCTGATTTAAAAGAAGCATGCCTGTAATCTCAGCATTTTGGGAGGCTCAGTCAGGAAGATTACAAGTTTTGAGACCAGTCTGAGCAACTTAGAAACTTAGAGAGACCCTGTCCCAAAATAAGAAAAAAAATATGGACAGGGGATGTGGTTCAGTGTGAAGGGCCTGAGTTTGATCTTAGGACCACAACATAGTGATAACAAGTAAAATTAAGGATGAATAAATGTTCTGAGTAGACTAATCATCAAGAAAACACAAATAAAAAACTATAATGAGATATCATCTGACTCCAGTTAGAATGACTGTTACCAAAAAGTCAAAA